CACCCCCGCTGCCAGTCCCACCCCGGTTTCCCAAGAGGAGACTGAGGCACGGCGAGGTCAGGTGGCGTGCCCGGAGTCCCACAGCGAAAGATGTTAGATTTAAACGACAGCGTCTGCGTCCTTCCAGGGACCCGCACAAGGAGAGTAAGGCGCGGTGCAGGCCCCACGTGAACCTCCGTGCGGAGGGGTGGCGAGCAAATGAACAGAAAGCCCGCAGGCACCGCAGGCATCGGGGGCGACGGGGGCCAGGGACGGAGCCTCCTGCCGCCTGCGCCGGCCGCCTGGCGCCGCGAATACCTGCGGATTAACCGAGGGCAGCAGGGTGCCCTGGGAGACCTGGACTAGGTGGTCGGTTAGGTTCCAGCTGCAAGTGGGCCATTGGCGAGTGCAGCGCAACTTAAGGTCTCCCCCAATTTCCCGCTCCAGGAGGATCACCAGGAGAGCCTAACAATACACATTCTCGGGCCCCAGCCGCAGGCAGCGAGTCACCCGCACTGGGCCGGACCCAGCCAGGTGTTGCCAACAGTCACGTTTGGGGCGTTCTAGGGATGTGCTGTTTATGAGAAACGATTTCATGTGGAAAAAGGTGTGAAACTGAGGGCACATTTTCCGGGCCGATTTCGAGGCTCACTGGGGCGCCACCAGCCCGCCGCTCACTGGAGGTCACGTGAGCTGGGTGATCAGCAGCAGCCCCCACTCGGTTGCGCTGCGGAAAACCCGGAGGGGCGCGCGCCGCCCCGCCCCCTGGCCGCCCCGCCCCACCCGGCGACTACAAATCCCATCCTGCCTTGCGCTCGCGCACGTTACGCCAGAGCAAGATGGCCGACACGATGGCCACTGCCGGGGCCGGCAGCTCCGGAACGGTAAGGGCGGGAGGCGCGGGGTCGAAGCTGAAAGAGTCTGGGCATTCTGTAACTTTCCCCTAGCCTGGGCAACAAGCCCATACCCAGACATCCAGCTCCACCATGAGCTCCGAAGGCAGGATGGTCTTTCAGGCCCTAATGCCCCCCCCTCTTTGGGACTTGGCGGCGGCCTCCTGAATTGGTGGATCTGTGTGCTGATTGGCTCGTTTCGGGGTTGGGAACCCGGAACACCTCCTGATTGGCCCGAAGAGGCCGTTTTCGCCTTCTTATTGGCCAGCCAAAGTTGGGAGGGATTTCTGTTTCAAAATATTTAGCTTTTCTACTTTCCGGTGCTGTTATCCTTTGCCCTCCTCTCCTCATTCAAGTGCGGTTTTAATTTCCCTTGTTAGTGAAGTGCTGTGCAAATGGGAGGAGCACGAGAGATCACTTTTTTTCTTAGAGATAGACATAAATTCAATCTCATCCTTCAACTATATATCCTGATAATCTGCTAAAATAGAAAGTAAGAAACAGCCGTTTGTGTTATTAGAATTTTAAGTTTTAGGGAAGCAGAAAGGCTGCCTCCGTATATAGAGAGAGCTCCTTAGGTGCTCAATTATGACTTATTTGGCCAAGATCTATAAGTCTAAACAGCAAGGGCTATCCCATTTTCAGCGCTGATAAGTATTTAGCAAAAGAACGTTTGCTTGCCATTGGCAATGTGTGAACTGTGTGATTGCATCCTTGTTTAGTGGATGAAAATCTTCTCTCTTTCTGGGCTGCTGATTCACAGAGATCAGGAGGTAAACAGTCCACGAACCCCGCTGATAACTACCATCTGGCCCGGAGGCGAACCCTGCAGGTGGTTGTGAGCTCCTTGCTGACAGAGGCAGGGTTTGAGAGTGCTGAGAAAGCATCTGTGGAAACATTGACAGAGATGCTACAGAGCTGTAAGTACCAGGAAACAAAAGGCCTTCTTCAAGTTAACCGAACATCTGTGCGGTGCCCTGCGTTGTGACAGTGTTAGAGACGGTTTAAGAAAAAGAAGAACGTCGTAAAGTGATTTACAGGCGTTAGAATCAGGTAGACCTGGGTGTAAGTCATCTCTCTTCTGCTTAACAGTCTGGATCTCCTGACGCTTAATTTCCTCATTTGAGAAATGAAATAATAATTTGCACCACAGGGAATTGTGGGGATAAGTGAAATGTATACGTAAATCATTCGATGCTGGGAACATTGTAAGCTCTTGACTTGTAGGTGCTATTATTGCTGTTTATGTTCTTTACTCAAAGAACTTAGAGTTTTGTTAGGGAGTTAGGATTCATTTCTACGTAATAGATGCCACCACATGATATAATCAAGTGCTGTGTTACTACAAAGATACAAAGATTAATGGTGAATAAGTTTTAAAGAATGGGAAAGAAAACACTTAAAAGGAAATGCCTTAAGTGTTAGGACCCTGGAATGGTCTCACATCGGCTTTTCTGCATATACAATGTATTTCCTTGTTTGAGTCTTTTTTGGGGGTAGGATGGGATGAGAGATTGGGGTATTTACAGTGTTTTGGGGGGGATCAACACCTATAAATGGAAATGAGAGAAAGGTTTAGGCAGAGGGAGAAGTTGAACTGTAATGCAGGCCAAACAAAAAATTGGATACCTAATTGCCTATTAGGTATCCCACATCAGGTGGAAAAGGCCCTGCCTTTATACTTTGGGCTTGATCAGTCACTAAATGTGGGCTGTCCCAGGAAGGGCAAGATCTGGGGTGAGGTGGCTTGCAGACATTTGGAACTTTTAACATACCAAATGTTTTCCTAAAGCAGTGCCCTCAGATTTTTCTTGGTTTTAGAACCCTTGTGGACTCTTAAATATTGAGGACCCTATGAAGTAGTGTATACATGAGATGGAGCCATAATGTCATCGCAGGTCATATAGCCTCTGGAAAACTACATGAGAGAATGAGTGAAAAAGTCACAGAATGTCTTAATTTGATTATGAAAACAGTTTTGACCTGTGGACTTGGCAAGGGTTTTTAGGGTTGTCCGTGGATTCCCAGACCACACTTTGAGAACTTTTGTCCTAAAGGAATTGACTAATAGTTCCCATTAGATTTTCCCCCTGGTAAACAGATGCTGCCCACTGCTTTCACATGTGGAGGCTAGTATTAGTGGTTTGCACAGGGTAGTGTGGTGAATTGGTGATAGGTTTTTAGTTAGACACCCTCCCCTGTCAAGCACTACTTACTTTTATCTTCTGAACCATTAGGCCTTTAGAACAGGGGTTCCATACCTTTTTGGATCCCTTTTATGTCTAATGAATTCTGTGGCCTTATTCCTAGAAAAGGATTTTTTGTGTGTGTGTTTAAAAATGAGCACAGCCCCCCCCCCACCTGGTATGGCTTAGCAGTTGAGCATCGACCTAAGATCCAGGAGATCGGGGTTTGAGTCCCGATCAAGGCACATACCTGGGTTTTGGGCTTGATCCCCAGTAGGGGGCAGGCAGGAGGCCGCCGATCAATTACTCTCATCATTGATGTTTCTATCTCTCTCTCTCCCCCTCTCCGAAATCATTAAAGACATATTTTGGCAAAAACAACAATAACAAAAACAAAACAACAGAAACTGAGTACAATTTCAGTTTTCATGGAACCTCCTATCCACTTCTGAAGCCTATTCATAGAGTCCAGCTTCATACCTTCTCTTTTCCCCTGAAGGACTTTAGCATGACTTTTAAATGGAGTTTCAGCTTTAGGCAGACAACACAGACAATAAGACCTTTTTTTCGGTTGCAAGATATACATAACATAAAATTTACCATTTTAACCATTTAATCTTTATTTTTATTTTTTTATTTCAGAGAGAGGAAGGGAGAGGGAGAAAGAGGTAGAAACATCAATGATGAGAGAAAGTCTTGATCTGCTGCCTCCTGCACAGCACCTGCTGCAGATCGAGCCTGCAACCTGGACATGTGCCCTGAGGGGGAATCGAACCTCAACCTCTGGGTTCATAGGTCAAGGTTCAACCACTGAGCCATGCCGGCTGGGCATTTTTAAACCATTTTTAAGTGTACAATTCAGTGACATTAAATATATTCACAGTGTTATACAACCATCAGCATTATCCATTTCCAGAACTTTTTCATTGTTCCAAACAGAAACTCTATACCCATAGATGACAACTCCCTATCCCCATCTTTCCCTGCCCCTGGGAATCTACTTTTTGGCTCTGAATTTTTTTTCTGTCATATAAGTAGAATCATTTGACTTTTTGTGTCTGGCTTATTTCAGTTGGCATAATGTTTTCAAGGTCCATCCATGTTGTGGCATAGATCAGTACTCCATTCCTTTCTTTTTAAAATTTATTTATTTTTTAAAATATGTTTTTAGCATTTAGAGAGAAAAGAAGGGAGAGAGAGAAAGATCGATGTCAGAGAGAAATATTAATTGGCTGCCTCCATCATGTACCCTGACAGGGGACTGAACCCACAACCCAGGTATAGGCTCTGACTGGGAATCGAACTGGGATCTCCTGGTTCATGGGTCAGTGCTCAACCACTGAGCCATGCCAGCCATGCCATTTCTGTCTTATGGCTAAGTAATATTCTGTTGTATGGCTAGACCACATTTTGTTCATCCATTTTTTTTAAATTTTTTTTAATCCTCACCTGAGGATATTTTTTCCATTGCTGTTTCAGAGAGAGCAGAAGGGAGAGAGAGGCAGACAGACAGATAGACATGGATATGAGAGAGACGCCTCAGTTGGTTGCCTTCCACATGGGTCTCAGACCGAGTCCCAGGATTGAGCCGGCAACCGAGGTACATGCCCTTGGCGGGAATCGAACCTGGGACCCTTCAGTCCTCAGGTCGACACTCTAACCACTGAGCCAAACTGGCTAGGGCCATTTATTCATCTTTTGATGACACTTGGGTTGTTTCCACGTTTAGGCTGTTGTGAATAGTGCTGCTACGAACATTGGTGTACAAGTATCTGTTTATGTCCCTGCTTTCAGTTTGTTTGAGTATATACCCAGGAGCTGAATTGCTGGCTCATGTGTTAATTCTTTGCTTAACTTTTGGGGAACTGAGAATAAGACTTTATGCCTTTGATTCTTTCCCAGACATTTCTGAAATTGGGAGGAGTGCCAAGTCCTACTGTGAGCACACAGCCAGGACCCAGCCCACACTGTCAGATATCGTGGTCACACTTGTTGAGATGGGTGAGTACAAGTTTCCAGTTCAGTGCAGCTGAGTTGGAGTTATGGGGGAGAGGGGAGTCCCCAGGAGTCAGCCACATCTGCTGAGTGTTTTTGAATTCCATCATGGTTCTTCTGGTCTGCTTTTAGCTTGAGTGGGTTATCAATAGAGGGTTCCTCTGAACCCATTTAAGAGACCTCCTAACTCCCTGGTGGGGGATTCTGCTGGAGCTTCTTTTCAGTGGCAGCAAGATGCTTGAGTTGGGATTTTAAGCTACTTCAACACAATATTACTCTCCCTTCCATGTTCAGTATCTGGGCAGTGACTTTTGTTTTCCTCTTTCTTAGGTTTCAATGTGGACACTCTCCCTGCTTATGCAAAACGGTCTCAGAGGATGGTCATCACTGCCCGTGAGTGTTGCACTGAGGTTCTCAGTAAGCGCTCAGTTAATGCTTGTGGCATGAATTAATTGAGTATGGCAGGCTCCCTTCCATTATTTGGGGCTACCTATAATATAATCTTTGTTTGCGCTAATGGAACAGGGATGTGACATTCAGTCACCAGAAAGGAAAACTGTCTCTGAGATATTGCTGTGGTTCTTGTGCTTTAGCCCCAGAAGGGCAACTGATGCGTCTTGAAAAATGCTAAAGCTCTAGTTCTTATTAGATCAAGGGTCAGTAAACTATGGTCTATAGGCCTGATGTGGCCCACCACCTGTTTTTGTAAATAAAGTTTTATTGGAACAGAGCCATGTGTACTTATCTTTGGTTGCTTTTTTGCTATGATGGCAAAGTTGAACAGTTGTGACAGACTGTATGGCTTGCAAAACCTAAAATATTTACTCTCTGTCTTTTTACACAAAAACTTTGATAGCCAGTGCCTTAGAGAGAAACTGATTGCCATACTCTGAGTTGGGAGTAACTAATGTGGGCTGGTAGGACCTGGGGAGACTTTGCTAGATTTTTTTTTCATCACTTTTTTCTAGCTGGTATCTTTTGAAAAGCTTCCCTCTCACGTAGCAGTAGAAGGTGCCATTTTTAATCCCCTGTTGTTGTCATTAGCCCACACTTACTTACCCTGGAGTAGTATATGTCTTTGTTATCCAGGTTCTATGGGAAGAGAATTAGTTCATCTAACATCTTAGTCACTCAGCAGCCTCAGCATGTTCTTTTGTGACATGGATGTTGTCACAGCCACCCACTCACCTGCCTAAGAGGCACGCAGGCTGATTGTTAAAGATGGGAGTATCACCCAAGGTCATTTAGCAGAGCTGGGCATGTGGGGGTGGCCTGAGATCCCTAAGTCCTTAAAAGGCCTTTTTAAAATAGAATACAAAGTGCCTGTTCAGAACATTGAAATCCAGTGTTTACTTTGAGGAAAGGAGGGTTTGGGTAGAGACCCAAGCCCTTGGGTGGAGGAGTAACCAGTTGTGACTCTGTTGCAGCTCCAGTGACCAATCAGCCAGTGACCCCCAAGGCCCTCACTGCAGGGCAGAACCGACCCCACCCGCCGCATATCCCCAGCCATTTTCCTGAGTTCCCCGACCCCCATACCTACATCAAAACTCCGGTGAGTGACAAGGCCGTGATGTTGGCTGTGACTGATACAAAGCAGTCAATTCCTACTGACTGTTGGACCAAAAGTTTCTTAGTAAAATGTGGGCTCAGAACTCAGAATGTCATCTGGCCAGCATGGCTCAGAGGCTGAGCATGGAACTATGATTCAAGAGATTGAGGTTTGATTCCTGGTCAGGGCACATGCCTGGGTTGTGGGCTCAATCCCCAGTTGCGGATGTGCAGTTGACAGCCAGTTAATGACTCTCCCTCATCATTGATGTTTCTATCTCTCTCCCCCTCTCCCTTCTTTTCTCTGAAATCAATTAAAAATAACACATTTAAAAAAAAAAACTCAGAATGTCTTTGTTTTGTTTTGTTTTGTTTTGCTGTTAATCCTTACCTGAGGATATTTTTTCCATTGATTTTTTAGAGAGAGTGAGGTGGGGGGAGAGAGAAAGAAACATGTTTCTATCTAGAAACATCAATGTGAGAGAGAGACATCAATTGGTTGCCTCCTGCACACACCTCGACTGGAACGAACCTGCAACTCATGTACATGTCCTTGATTGGGAATCGAACCCGCAACCCTTGTGTTCACAGGCCAGTGCTCAACCACTTAACCACACCAGCCAGGGAGAGAATGTCTTTTCTTATTGATAAGCAATTTGGCAAAGGAGAATTATGTTCTCCAGTTGGCTGGCAAAAATATAGTTAACAAATTGAAGCCGCTGCAGTTTTGCCTGTCCCACCAAAACATAAAAGGACCTAGCCACCCACCTAGAGATAGAATGGAAGGTTATTCTACAGAATGTTAATACTAATTCTCAGTGGGTCATAGGTAACTTGCTGTCTTATATATGCTTTTCTGGGTTTTCCAAATTTTCCATAGAAAAAGAGTTAATTTTGAAATCAGGGAGAAAAGCTTGTTTAAAACATACTTGGTGATAACATGAAATGAAACTTATTGTAACTGAGTTCTGGGTCTAATTGAGGACAAATCGAGTTGTCTTCCTGGTTCAGGCGTGTTCTTTGCCAGATGAGCACTTTTACCTTCCTTTGGAAAGGGTGCGGTGTGCAGAGGAGTTCCCACACACTTCCTTTGTCCCCGCCTCCACACCATATGCAGGCGGGCAGGGCGCGACCTCCAGGGCATGTCTCCACACAGGATACCAGGGGAAGGAATAGATAGTCACCTACCATTGCAGTGGAGCCACTGGCCTTGACCTATAGTCTCTGTATTAGTGTCCGAGAGCTGCCATAACAAAGTGCCACAAACTAGGTGGCTTAGAACAGCAGAAATATATTGTCTTACAGTTCTGGAGGATACATGTTCAAAATCAAGGTGTTGCCAGGGCCACGCTCTCTCTGAAACCTGTAGGAGAATCTTGCCTTGCGTGGCCTCTAGTGGTTTGTAGGCACTCTGTGGGCATTGCTTCGATTATAGCTGCAACACATGTATTCACACGGTGGTCTGTCTGTCTCTGTCTTCACATGGCCATTTTCTTTCTTTTTTTGTTAATCCTCACCCAAGGATATTTTTTTCCATTGATTTTTAGAGACATTGGGAGGGATGGAGTGGGGGGAGAGAGAGAGAGAGAAAGGGAGAGAGAGAGAGAGAGAGAGAGAGACATCGATGTATCTAAGCGAGACACGTTCATTGGTTGCCTCCTGCATGCACCCCCAACTGGGGCCGGGGATCAAACCTACAACTCAGGTATGTGACCTTGACCAGGAATCAAACCTGCAACCCTTCAGCATGCAGGCCAACACTCCAAACTGAGCACACCCACCAGGGCACATGGCCATTTTCTTGCAAGGGCATCAGTTGTATTGGAGCAGGGTACCACCCTATTCTCTGACCTCTTAACTGATCACATCTGCAACAGCCCTATTTCCAAATGAGATCATATTCTGAGATGCTGGGGGTTAAGACTTCAACATATTTTTTAGGGGACACAATTCAGATGAGATCAGACCCATTCAGGGTGGTATGGCCGTACACTGGGGGACACAATTCAACCCATAACTGTCTCTAACTCTTTTGTAGTATACTTCTGTCTGTAAAAATGTTAAGCACATACTCCAATAAACACTCATTCTACATGAATATTATAATGTAATACTTTACTAAAATGATGGGCATTAAAAGATAATCTGACCCTTATTAAAGGTTCAGGAAACCTGTTCGTTTCTTTTTAGTGGAACCGTGTGATGGCCTCTGCTTTTTAGGTTTTGAAATCTTGTGGTAATATGTAGTGAAATAAGTTAGAGGTCTGATTCTAAGATCAGCTTATTTTAATACTTTAACAGCTCTCATGTTTGTAACAAGTATGTTCAAGATCTAGTCAAATTCTTCATTTTGGGGTGATTTTAAATATGTCAGAAAAATCCTGTTTCTGTGTTTAAGAGTGGATATGGGAACCGTATATAGGCCACATACTTGAATTAACATTGACAACAGTGGAAATGTTTTCAAGTGCCTCCTTTAAAACTCCCATCTCAATACCACAAAGAATAGTTAGTTACTTTTTGGTCGTTGTTACAATGACCTGTACCATTACAATATAAAGTGTTTTGGCCAACTTCTTGTTCGGATTAGACCTCAGTGATTTTTCACATCACGCCACAATTGCCAAGGAGCTCAGAATTCGGAGCAGGAGGAGTGGCAGGCCTGCCATTTCTTATTCACTTGCACTTACATTGATAACAGTCTGTATTTCTTTGAGAGAGTCTTTTGGGACATGTCCATTTTGTGAAGGTTGGTTTGAGAAAACAAGATTGTACAATCCACAAATCCACTTAAGCAGCCACTTGCTTACTGCAAGATGTCACATCACACTGATGGAACCAGTGGTCCCTGTCAGGGCTTCGTGGGGGAGTCCTACCCTTCCTTCAGGATGCTTCTCTTACACCTGAGACCAGCTGTCACAGGAGCTAAATGAAGGCCTGGGGTCAATGTATAGTAAATATTTGTATGTTTCTTAATTTTTCAGATGAAAAATAAATATTAGTGATAGTTCTATCAATTTCTTTCTACCCTTCCATCGCCCTTTGGGGACCTCTGCTCTAAATGTTGGTAGTGGGTCATTTAAAGGGTAGAAGGATATAGAAACAGCAAAGCAGGACCCCGAGGAGAGCAGAGTAACCCATTGGTTTTACTCTAGTGTCTTTGCTATTCTTTGTAGACGTACCGCGAGCCTGTGTCCGACTACCAGGTCCTGCGGGAGAAGGCAGCGTCCCAGAGACGTGACGTGGAGCGGGCACTCACTCGCTTTATGGCCAAGACTGGCGAGACCCAGAGTCTTTTCAAAGATGACGTCAGCACGTTTCCATGTGAGTCTGTCCCTCTGTGGAGCCTGTCTTGTCACTTGATACAATCACAGATCTTCCCTTACTCTCAGCACCATAGGAAGAAACTAATAAGCATTGTCCTCATCTTGGGTGTTTCTCGCTCTTCAGATTTCTGGCTCCTTTTCCCAGGTCTTAGGGCCTGGGTGACTGAGTGGTAATGGCCTCTGTTGGGATTGGCCGCTTGAGGTACACAGAGTTTAGGTCTCCACGGGGGTGACTGGGCCCTGGGCGTCAGACCCATGCAGCAGGGTGGCAGCCCTGGTAGTAGAAGGGATGGTGGCATCAGGGGCAGGACAGTTACAGACCCTGCCGGGCTTTGCCCTTCCCTGTGTCCTCGCACAGGTACCCGCTCACTTAATTTCTCATCTGGGCACTGCCATATCACCAAGTCGCTTCACCTCCATAGGTCGAAGGTTTTCCATAGGCGAATTCATTCAGTCAGCGAGTGCTCACTGTGTGCCTGGCTCTAAAATCTTTTTATTTTAATTTTAATATCTTTATTGATTTCAGAGAGAGAGAGAGAGAGATAGAAACATCAATGATGAGAGAGTCGTTATTGATCGGCTGCAGCCCGCAACCCGGGCATGTGCCCTGACTGGGAATCGAACCACGATCTCCTGGATCCTAAGTAGATGCTCAACCACTGAGCCACGTCCGACTGGGCTGGGCCTGAAATCTTAGCAGCTAAGTTACTAAGTGCCAGATGCAGGGCTAATCATTTCCCCTAAATCATCTCATTAAATCCTCTGGGGAGCCTATGAGTTAGGAGCTGTTATTACCACCATTACAGGAAGCCGAGGCTTATAAAGAGGAGAAAGGAAATAACTTGCCCAGAGTCACACAGCTAGTAGCTTTCAAACTTAGACTCACCTGATGATCACATTCTACTATAGAGACTTTCATTCATTCATTCATTCATTCATTCATTCATTCATTCATTCATTCATCTTACCAATGATTTCTTCTCATCCTCAGTGCTTTTTGGAAGAACAAAAATGCTCATTTACCTGCAGTGCCCTCTAGCTCAGTGGATACACTTACATTCAAGTCCAGTGTTTGGACTTGAATCCTTCAGGCTGATGGGATCAACTTCTCTGCTCTAGAAATGAGGCTTAGAGGACTTCACTGTGTATAAGATCACTAAGCTGGTGCTTTGCTAGGATTCAGCCCCAGTTCTGTTGTACGTGGGAAAAGTGGCCTCTGAAGTTATATCGCTCAAGTTCAGATCTCACTCAGCCACTTTCTGTGTGCTGGAGAAGTCACTTAACCTCTCTGTGTCGCAGTTCCCTTATCTGTAAAATGGGTTGGTAATTGTACTTAGCTGTTACAGTCACGGTGAGTATTAAGATAGTACGTGTAAAGCCTGTAGGACATGGCCTGGCCCACGGTAAGTGCTCAGAGTGTGTCAGCCATTATTGTCATTTGATGCTGCTCGCTGACCTGTTGTGAGGTCTTAGGCCAGCTGCAAGGACTCCATGACAGTGGAATTGTACTCTCTTCCGATCCCACAGTGATTGCTGCCAGACCTTTCACCATCCCCTACCTGACAGCTCTTCTTCCATCTGAACTGGAGATGCAACAAATGGAAGAGACAGATTCCTCGGAGCAGGATGAGCAGACCGACACAGAGAACCTCCCTCTTCATATCAGCACGGTGGGTCCTGCCTTCTGCCTCCTTCAGAGTAACCCTCAAACTAGCCCACACTGCCCTAGCCTGTCACCCTGGGATTGGACAAGACCTACCCCAGGTCTCTACCTTTCCGTTAGGGACTTGCATGATGAGCTGAGTGTGGTATGATCTCTAGCTCGAGAGGCAAGTCTGTGTCCTGAGGATTCATTCATTCATTCAATATTGAATGAGCGCCTGCCAGAGCCAGGCTCAGTTCCAGGTGCTGGGGAATTAGTAGGAAACAAAACCAACAAAATGTCCTGCCCTCATGGAGCTAAGGTATGAAGTGATAAATTAGGAGATGGGAAGTAGCTATGGGCATGGGGGAATGTGGTACTAGGATGACTAAGGTGACATTTGAGTAAAGGCCTGAAGGGAACAAAACTTACACATATCTGGGGATTAGAGCATTCCTCATAGAGGGAACAGCAGACGCAAAGGCCCTGAGGTGGGAACTGTTGTGTTGAAGAACAGCAACTCCATCAGGATGGCCAGAGTGTCATGAACAGGGGGGAGAGTAGGATGGGATAAGGTCAGAGAACTCATGGGGGTTCAGATTTTAAAGGCTATGTTAAACATGTGGGCTTTTCCTCAGTCAGATGGGAGCAATGGGAAATGCTGAGCAGAGGAGGGCCAGGAGCTGATGTGGGCTTGTTAACAGCATCAGTCAGGTTGCTGTGTTGAGAGTAGACTAGAAAGTAAGGGTAGAAGCAGAGACCAGTTAGAAGGCTCTTGCATCCTGGCTGGTGTGGCTCAACAGTTGTACATCGACCTAGGATCCAGGAGATCGCAGTTCGATTCCCAGTCAGGGCACATGCCTGGGTGCAGGCTTTATCCCCAGTCAGGGGCATGCAGGAGGCAGCCAATCAATGACTCTCTCATCTTTGATGTTTCCATCTGTCTCTCTCTCCCTCTCCCTTCCTCTCTGAAATCAATAAAGACATATTAAAGAAGAAAATAAAGAAGGCTCTTGTAATAAGCTGAGAGATGGTGGTAGAAGCAAAGATAATGACATATGGTCAGATAAATTATTGCTTAAATTCTAGATTATTTTCAGAGTAGAGCCAACTGATGGAGTGGGTATGAGATGTGAGAGGAGAGAGTCAAAGATAAATTCAAGGTTTTTTGCTTGAACAACAGGAAAGATGGAGTTGCCTTCAACCGTGGTAGGGAAGACTTGAGTGGAACAGTTGTCTGTCTGTGGGGGAAGCCAGGAGTTCAGGTTTAGACAAGGGAAGTTTGAGATGCTTATTAGACATCCAGATGGTGATGTCAGGTAGAGAGATGGATGTATAAATTGGAATTTGAGGAGCTGTTAGAGCTATAGATGCAAATTTGGGAGTCATCAGTGTGTAAGTAGTGTTTAAAACCATGAGACTTAGATGAGCTTCTGGGGAGTGAGTGAACATAAAAAAGAGAAGAGATACAAGGACTGAGCCCTGGGGTTTCCCACTGTTCAGATAAGGTGGAGAAGGCTCAGCTGGAGGGTGCGGTGTCCTGGAGGCCAAGGAAAGAAAGTATTTCTAGGAGAAAAGAGGGATCACCTGCCAAAAGCCTCCGTTAGTTTCAGTAGTACAAGGACTGAGAATTTGTCCATTAGATTTGGTGATGTGAGTGTGATTTTTGAGCTCAACAAGAACAAGTTCAGTAAGAATGAGAGCAAGGGCCTGCGGTGAAATCAGGGAGATGGGGAAAGAGAAATTGACATCGGTGAGTATAGACTTGCGCTGTCCGTTACAGCAGCCACTAACCACATGTAGCTGTTTAAACTTAAAATTTAGTTTTTTTGGTTACACTAGCCACGTTATAATAGCCACATATGTATAGTGGCTACCATACTAGGCAGTGTAGATACCAACATTTATATCATTGCAGAAAGTGCCATTGGATAGCACTTATATAGGCAATTGTTTCAAGGGGTCTTGCAGTAAAGGGAAAGAGAGAAATGGAATGGTAACTAAAGGAAAAATTAAGGAGTTAAAAGAGGTAGTTTTCGTTTTTAAGGTAAAAGAAACCCTGATGTTTGTATGCTGACAGGAGTGATCTGGTAGAGAGGGAAAATGGGTGCAGGAGAAACATTTTGGAATGATGTTCTTTGGTTGGTGACAGGCCATGGGATCTAGTGCCCAAGTGGAGGGGTTAGCCTTGTTCTGGACATTTCATACCCAGGATAGAGATAAAGTGTGTGAGTACAAAGGAAAGGCGGTGAGGAGACGTGCTCATCGCAACTTGTGGGTGTTCTTTTCTGATCGGTTGTTGTGCTTGGCAAGAGAAAGGATAAGACTCCACTCTCGTTCCTGCATTTGGGAGAAAGTGAAGGAGATCGCAGACCTGCTGAAAGCTCCAATGCCTTTAAGGCTTATAGGACCCTTGTAGTCAGGTTACCGTGCTCAACCATTTTTAAGATTGGCCCTGGCTTTTAAGCAACCGATGCCTTAGTGGCTGATGTTGGGCCGAGTGTTCCTGTGCTCTCTAGGTGCCGTGCACCAGTGGCAGCCAGCAGCTCCGGCTGGAGGTGGAGAGTGCCAGTGCTGTGTCTGTTTGCTGAAGCTCGTCCTTGCTTGAACACATGTCTCTTTATGTAAAGTGATTGCCTTCAGAATTAGGGCTGCGAGCGAGCCCGCGGCTTTACACAAGCAGAGGAACTCCTTATTCTACACTCCTGATGCGGAGTCAGTTAACTTGGAGTGAGATAGGGTGATTGGGGGGGTCGACTAAGGTGACATTCACCTTATGAGAAGGCGGAATCTTCTAAGCAAACGTTCACTGTCCCTTTGTAAGTACAAAGCAGTTAGAGGGCTTTCAGATGTGTTGTCTGACGCTTCAGGTAATGACATAGGTGAGGTCATGGCGGTGAGGGAATCGAGGCTGACAGAATGCCAGGAGCGGCCTGCCTGCGCTCTCCTGGACACCGGGAGGCCAGGCCAGACGGCAAAGAGTAACTGGCCTGGCTTTAAATCTAGACCTTGCGACTTTCCAGATACATTACCCAGCACCTGAGTCTGTTTCGTCACAAGTACAAATAGCAGTAGCAGCACCTACCTCAAGGGGAAGCGGGAGCCTGAGATAAGATGAGCTCACATATCAGGTGCCTGGCACATGGCAGCTCCCAGCCCAGTTGCTCCCTCCCCTGCAGCTTTGGGCTGTACAGCCACATGCTGTTCTGTCAAAAGTAAATGAAAAGACTTTGAGAAAAGGACTCTAGCAACAAATTTATATACAATTGATTGGATTTGTTTTTTTGTTGGACTGGCAAACAGAATCATGGGTTTCGAAATTCAGAATGTACAGAAAGATGTATGGTGACAGTTCTTTCTCTCTTCGTTCCGTTACCTACTTTCCCACCTACAGAGCAACCAGTCACCAGTCTCTTCCTTATGTGTCCTTCAAGAGACATAATTTGTTATTGTTTTAAACACAAACAGCAAGCCACAAATGGCTTTGCCCTTGCTGTTTGCCCTCACTGATACAGCTTGGCGGTCATTCCGTGTCTGTATGAAGGAGGGTCTTCATCCCCCCCACTCAGCCTCGTCATGTTCGAGGGACACAACAAATGAATTTTCCCAGTGCCCTGTGGACATTTGGGTGATTTGCGATCTTTTGCAATTACACACATCGCTACAGTTTTAAATAACTGGTATTTTAGATTATTCTTTTATCTGTCCATGGCAGCATATCTGGAGGAGGACTGTTGCTACATAGTTTTTCCTTAACCTGGTCTGGTTTCCCCATCTACTTGAACATAAAGGGACTATTCGTTTTAAATTCTTGTGTAACAGAATCCGTTTTCTCTTCCATTTGAACCAGCTGCCTTCTGTAGGTAATCCCAGTGTCTAAGCTTTTGCTCTTTTATGAGCACCGTGCAAGTCATTTCTTCATTTAGTACTTGGTGGTATGTGCCAGATACTGTTCAGAGTGCTTGGGACACATCTGTAAGCAAAACAAAGAAAACATCTGCCTTTCAGGAGCCTGCGTGCTGGCAGCGGGAGAGCGACAGTAGACGGAATGTACCCCCAAATCCTTACGTAGTCTCTTAAAGATTAAAGTGCCGTTGGGGGCAGGGAGGGCCTGTCCAGGTGAAGCGTGGAGGTTTCTGTTTTAAATAGGGTGCTCAGGGTAGACAGCACTGAGAAGGTGACTGAGCAGTTCAGGGGGGTTGAGGGAGTAAGCCATGTGGATATCTGCGGGAGAATGTTCTGGAAAGGGAACAGCCTGCGCAGAGGCCCTGAGGAATGCATGAAGGTGAGTGTGAGCATGGCTGAGGAAGGCCGAGAGGGAGAGGACGGGGCCACACCAGGTAGGACCTTGCAGGCAGTTTTAAGACTGGCTTTTAACTGGGTGAAATGGGAGTGGTGGGAGGCATGGCACAGAGGAGGGCTATGTCTGAATGAACTTCTTCCAGGATGGGTGGCTGCTGTGAGGAGAAGGGACTGCAGCCAGGGCAGGCAGAGAGCAGACTGTGGAGGGAGATCAGTTAGGAAGCATTTGCGGTAGTCTAGGCGAGAGCCAGTGGTGGGTTCTGCCAGGATGGTCACATAGGGACACTGGAAATGGTCAGATTCTGCCTGTATTTTGAAGGTAAGGCCAAGAAGTTTTTCTGACAGACTGATGTGGGATGTCAGAGAAAGAAAGGAAGCAAGAGTGAGGAGTTGGGCTTGAACAACTGAAAGGCTTGAGTTGCCATCGCTGGAGGCCAGGAGGACTGCATAAGGGCTCTTTGCGCCTGGGGAAGGTCCGGGGTTCAGTTTTAGGCACACTAAGTTTGAGGTGCCTACCTGACACCCAATTGGAGATGTTGAGTGGCTGTGGCTGTGTGAGTCTGGGGGTCAGGAGGGAGGTGAGGGCTGCAGAGGCATGTGAGAGTCGTTGGTGTGGACATGGCACTGAAGCTGTGGGACTGGGTGCAGTTAGGTGCTCCCCTGGCCCAGGTGAGGCTCGTTAGCAGGCACACATTGCCTGAGTCTCGCCTTTCCAGGCTTCAGGATTTCTTGACTGACTCTTCTGCCTAGGTTTTTTACAAATCTCAGTGGGTTTAGTACTTGACTTCCTGTATCTCCTCCTATTCCTCCCCATCTCAGGCTGCCTCTCCCTGAGGGAGGCAGGGAGGTGGCATTTCCAGAAGCTCTGCTTGGGAGAAGAGAGGCTGATGTCCCATGACTGGGACCCACATCCTGGGACCCACATCCTGGCCTTGTGAGACACAGTGAGCCAGTGGAGGCAGCCTCAGTGCCCTCCAGCAGAGGTCGCAAGGCTGGCTTCTCTGCACCCCTGTCACCTCCATCCTTATTTCAGGAAACCCTTAAGGCACAGTTGAAGTGAAGTTCTAGTAACTCTAAAGATAAGGTGTTGACATAGAGAACTGGTAAGAGATGGGTAGGGGGTGGTTAGTAAATTAATCTGTAAAGAACTTTAGAAAGGTTAGGGGAGCCAAGGTAGGTGTGGTGGTGGTGGTCAGACTTTGTGTCTGGCAGGAGCTAGGTTGATCTTGAGAACTCACTTTCAGGAGAGCCTCCAGAAGATCCGCAGTGGCTCTAAGTCACCTTATGGTCCTGCTGGATCAGGTGTTAGAGAGGAAAGGCACGGGGATCTTGCATGGAACTGGGTCTTTGGGAGAACACAGTGGAAGGGACAGTGTGAGAATGTGCAGCAGAACCCAGAAGTGATCCAGTCTCTTCAGGTTCATGGAGCCTGAGACCGTTGCCTGCCTGCTGGGCCAGCAGTCTCTGTGGCAGAGCCTGCCGTTCATTTCATGCCATCCGATCGCAGTGTCCTCTGCCCTGCTGTCTCTTGTCAATAGTCTCCTGCTGGAGGTCAGGTCCTCTTTTGCCTCAAGTTACAGAACAGGAATCTCAGTGACAGAACCCTTGACCTGTCACCAGGGGACACAACCCTACCAGCTGCTCTGGTCACTTACAGTCACTTAGGAATGAACTTCTAGGTCAAGTTCTTCATGTGATTTTGTCCCTTCCCCCTGCTCTACTTATTTTATAGAACTTGGGAATTAGAAGAGTATAAATAAGGAAAGGAGAATCAATTGCCCATATTCTCAGAATCAGTTTTTAAAATTTCAGCATACTACTTTTTTCTTTGTGATTTAAAAAAAATTCTAATTGGGGTCATATTGAATATATGTAAATTTCTGAACTTTTCTGAAAAATCGCTGTCTTCAAAAACCAAACTGTGACAGACCTGACCCCCAGGTCACCAGTGGGATTCTGGATCACGTTCCCGTGCTGGTGCCAGCACGCTCTGCTTTCCTTGGTGGGAACCCTCGGGGCTCAAGAAGTTTCTGACCTCTGCTGCAATATGATCATTGGTACCATGTTGCAAGTATCAGATATTTGAGAATTTGGGGGGACATCTCATGCTTTACATTAGCTTTGGTTTAGGAAAGGCCCTCCGCATATGACTGCTCTGACCCTGTCTCAGTCCTGCAAAGCGTGGAGGCTCACTTCCCTTTTTCTTCATCTCCCCACAGGTTGGGCTTTCTTCTTGAGCACCTGAATTTTAGCCCCTGCCCCCCTGCCCCTCCCATGTCTCTGTTCTTTCTAACTCATGCTTTGTGTTCTGTGTTCCACTGTGTCGGAGCTGTTGGTCTCACCTTCCTCTGAGCCAGCGCTGCCTGGGCCTCATTTCATCTGAGGCACTTTAGAAAGAAGGTGGTCCCCGAGCTTCCAGTTTCTCCCTGAAAGGGATGCTAATAGCAATTCTTGCTGTGGGCATGATCTCTTTCCTTATGCCATTGGTGTTTTGCTTTATTTCGGCTTTTGCTCAAAGGATGACTCTGGCGCCGAGAAGGAGAACGCCTCTGTCCTGCAGCAGAACCCCTCCTTGTCGGGGAGCCGGAACGGGGAGGAGAACCTCATCGACAACCCCTACCTGCGCCCTGTGAAGAAACCCAAGATCCGCAGGAAGAAGTGAGTTGGAGGCTGGGTGCAGAGAGGCTCTCTGGCCAACCGAGGTGGTCTTCTCTGCTTCACAGCAGAAAATAGAGGCCACCAGTGGGCCTGCACCTCGGGGAAAGCTACTCTGGTGAGAGGAAATGCTCTCCCTTTTTCTTTCCTTACTCGTCTCCTGCATGTACCTCTCGTTGCATAGAGGTTGAGCTTCCTGCAGCCCCAGGACCAACCCTCACAGCCTTGGAGTCATTGCCTCTTAGAAGGAAAGCAGGTGGGGCCCCCACCAGGCAGTCTCCATGGATTCCTCTTCTTTCTAGGTCCCTCTCGTGAGCTGAGAAGGAAGCCAGCCTTGTACAGAGACGTGGACACCACTCTCCTGGGGGAGTTAAAGCCACGCGCAGGAAGCAGAGAGGGTGGCCTCCCATGGTCCAGCCGAGGCTGCTGGGGTGTGACTGGGCATGATTTGAATAGTGAACTCTGTATTAAGATTTCCTATTTTCACTGGATGTTTGGGTTGAGGAAGATATGATATGATGGTAATAACGAGGCTTTCTTAATCAACCAGGCCCTACTGTGGGAGCAGCCGGTGACTTCATTTATTATCATAGGACCTGATCCCTTTGCAACCTGAAAGACCAGGGAAGGCGGCAGGAAAGAAGGGGTTCGGTGCCTTCTTTGCTTACTGCCAGGAAGACTGTTTGCCTAGTTTCTGTTTCAGGCTATCCAGGCCCCTTGATTGACTCACAAGCTGTACACCGGTTTATCGTCCTGGAACTCCATTCTTACTTCCCTCCTCACCTGTGCTCCAAGTACCCTGTTTAGCTGACCCAGGGCTCCTTTGCCTTCCAACTGTCACTCCTTGACCTGGGCCAGCAGGAGTCAGGAGGTGTGAGCAGGATCACGCGGAGGAGGGTGATGCATAACAGCGCCCAGTTCTTTCATTGCATTTGGTGAACTCCCCCTACATTGAAGCAACACTCTCTCCTGAAAGATTGGCATTTATTGTCTCTCTGTGGAATGTGTGCTTGGGGACTACCGAGTCCTGTGCCATCCCGGGAAGAGAGTTTTCTCTGCCAAGAGCCTCTGCAGTGATACATTATGCTGTGACTTGCTGGAGGAATCCGATTTTACACAACAGGAAAGGGGTTGGATGGGGGTGGGGTGAGATCTTGAGGGCTGATTGGCCTTGTTTTCTGAGCGCTGAGATGCCTGGTCAGCCTGCTGGAAGCCGGCACAGACGGAAAGGGAAAGCCACGGTCCCGCCTTATGGCGGAAGTGGGCTGAGAGGAGCCGGCAGCCCAGGCCAAGGTGTTCAAGAAGCAGGTCTGCATCTGTTCAGCCTCTTTGTGGCCTGGGGAAAGATTTCATCCTTCCTGTACCCTAAAGATCAGAGCACAAGTGTTTGAGGAAGATGCTGGGCAAGCTGATACCCTTCAGCTGGTATCCGAAAGGAGATTTAAAAACCAGGCCTAAGGAAGAAAAATGCCAGTGACACCTGGAAGTTAGCGTGGGACAAATGAGTTCCCTGGGTTAGCACCCTAAGTCCATATTGAACTATTCTCGTACTCGGCTTCCACAGTCATCTTTTTTTCTTTTAAAAAAAAATTTTTTTATTGATTTTTGTTGTTGTTACAGAGGAAGGGAGAAGGAGAGAGAGAGAGAGAGAGAGAGAGAGAAACATTGATGAGAGAAACATGAATCAGCTGCCTCCTGCATGCCCCCTGCTGAGAATCAAGCTCGCAACCTGGGCGTGTACCCTGACTGGAAATCGAACCAGTGACCTCTTGGTGCACAGGACAACTCTCAACCGACTGAGCCACATCAGCTGGGCCCACAGTCATCTCAACCTATGAACTTGGTGAACTTGAAAATTCAAAAACTTGGTGACTTGATGGCAGCTCCACATCTGTCTGGCCTCAGTGTTCTCTAGGGTACCCCATCCGTCACCCAGAAGGAAAGAGTTGCTTGTCAGTAACTGAAGAAGGGATCTCAGTGAGAAAAGTGGACTCCCCAGCTCTGGGCCAAATAAGAGTTTTTCAGGTTTGTGGTGACCTGAAACTCTTCCAGTTGAAAGCAGTCCTGTGGGCCTTTGCCAACCCCTGGAGTTTGTGATTCAGCTGTTGCTGATTCTTGGCCTGTTGACTTTGACTCCAGTCCCGAGTGAGTCGTGGCTGAGGCAGGAGGAAACCTTGCCGGCTTGCTGTCTTCGGCTCTCGGGAGCAGTCATCCCAGTCAGTATGTCTGCAGTTCCTCTGTTGCTGTTGGCACCCAAAGCTCACACCTGTTGAGTGCCGTACTCAGAGAGGAGGGAGGATTTGGAAGAGGCGCCATTTCTGCTGCGGGATGTCAGAGGCTGTGCTGCTGATTATGTTCTGCATGAGACAGTGGGAGATGGTGGGACAACTTGAGATAGTGTTGTGTAAGAACTGTGCATACTTCTCAATGTAGATTTACAAATTTCTATTTTTTATAATTTGCAGGGAATTCTTGGAGGAAGTAAGTAGTAAGCAAGCCAGATTAAGAGTGTGATTTGTGAAGTCTTAATAAAAGGTCACAAGAAAAACTTCATAAATGAAACAGAATTTTATAAGCTTTGAACTTAATTTGTATTCAGAGGTCATAGCAATGAAAACAGATAAGTGAGGCTTAGCCCTTCTGTTGACTAGGGACCGCTGAGAACTATCTAAAACTTTATTTTGGAAATTTTCAAACCCCAAATTAGAGGAAAGTATATATATATATTTTCCTTATATATCATATACATGTACCTTTCCCCCAGACCCCCCAGTGGTAGCATCTTGTATAAATGCAATTATCAAACCCAGGAAACTGACGGTATAATCCGCAGAGCTTATTCAGATTTCACCATTTCCCCTGTGTATGTGTAATTTGATGCAGTTTTGTCATGTGTAGATTCAGGTAGCCACCCACAGTCAAGGTACAGAACATGTCAGTCACCACACCCACCTCCTTCCCCACTGTTAATGCCTGACAACCACTGCTCTGTTCTCCACCTCTATAATTTTATTTTTTAAATGTTATGTAAATGGCATAATAAAGTTTGTAATCTTTTGAGGTCAGCTTTTTTCACTCTGCGTGAGTGGGAGCCTTACAGGTTGTTACATGTCGGTAGCTCCTTTTCGTTGCTGAGTAGTATTCCTTGGTATGGATGTCCCACAGTCTGTTTAACCTGTCACATTGAGAGAGATCTAGGCTGGTTCCAGTTTGGGGCTATTATGAATAAAGTGGCTATGAACATTTGTGTGCAGGTTTTTGTGTAAACATAAGTTTTCATTTCTCTTGAGATAAATGCCCAAGAGTGTAATTGCTGGGGCCTATGGTAACTGCATGTTTAATTTTAAAAGAAACAATTTTCCCAGATTGCATTCCTACCAGCAATGTATGAGTGATCCAGTTTCTCCACATCCTCATCAATGATTGATTTTAGCCACTCCGATAGGTGTGTGGCAGTGTCTCATTGTGCTCTTAAATTGCATTTCCTTAATGGCTAGTTGTTGAATACCTCTCCTGTGCTTATCTGCTGTCCAGATAGCCTCTTTGGTGAGATGTCCATTTGAGTCTCTCACCTATTTTCTAATTGGATTGTTTCTTTGTTTTGAAATTTCTTTATATACTCTAGATACAAGAACTTTGTTGGACATGTGGTTTGCAAATACCTTCTCCCACTCTGTAGGTAGTCTTTTTATCTTCACAGGATCTTTTCCAAAGCAAAGTTTTTTATTTTGATGAAGTACAGTTGATCAGCTGTTTCTTTTATGAACTGTGTTTAAATGTCGGGTCTACAAACTTCATCCAGCCCTATGTCCTGAAGATTTTTTCCTATATTTTTCTAACATTCTTATAGATTTACGTTTTACATTTTATTTTATTTATTATTATTATTTTTTTAATCCTCACCTGAGGATATTTTTTTCCCATTGCTTTTCAGAGAGAGTGGAAGGGAGAGAGAGAGAGAGAGAGAGAGAGAAACATTGATGTGAGAGAGACACATCAGTTGGTTTCCTCCCCCACACACCCTGACCAGGGCTGGGGATGGAGCTTGCAGGTATGTGCCCTTGGCTGGAATCAAACCCCAGACCCTTCAGTCCTCGGGCCGACGCTCTAACCACTGAGCAAAACCGGCTAGGGCACATTTTACATTTTAGTCCATGATCTTTTTTGAGTAAAAATTTCTATGAGGCATGAGGCTTGGGTTGAGTTAATTATTTTGCCCATGCTGTCCAATTGATCAGCACCATTTGTTGAACAGCTACCCTTCCTCCAATGAATTACGTTTGTATCTTTGTCAAAAATTAGGGGGACTTTTTTGATATGGGGCATACTTCTGTGGGTTCATATACTTTTTTTTCTTTTTAACCAATCATGTCAATATCACACCTAACAAGTGAACAGTAATCTCATAATGTTCCCATAATACCCAATTCATATTCAGATTTTTCCAGTTGTCTTACAGTTGTTGCCCCACCCCACCCCAAAGTTGTTTTTGTTTGTTAATTTTTAACAGTTGGCTCGTTTGCATCAGGATCACAGTAAGACCCACATGCTGCATGGGGCTTTTGTGTCTCCCAAGTGACCAGCGTGCCCTTCCCCAACCTCCCACCTCCTGGGCCCCAGCCCTGGCCTGCCCGTGAGGATGCACAGCAGGCCCTTTTCCTTTGTTAAATGGTCAGTGGAGCTGACTGAGAAACCAATGACAAAATGGTCTGGGCTTTTGAGAGAAACAAGTGCAAAAGGAGCCTTGTTTTTCTGGAACCCCGAAGTCCCTTTAGACTTAGAGGCCGTGTGGTTCAGGAAAACAAGGCTTCATGACATTCGTATTTACAGTTTACCAGCTGTGGGATTTGGGGCAAATCACTAAACTTCCAAACCAGTTTCTAGAACATGGGGTCATTATGGCGCCTCGTCAGGAGGACTTAATAAGAATGTCTGCAGCTGTGCTTTATAAATCAGTTATTCCATCGCCAGGCCATTTTTGTTTCCTGTTGCTTTTAAAGTTATATATAAAGACTAATACTAATTGAGAACTGTTGCCAGTCACGGTTCTAAGTGTCTTAACACTTATTGACTCATTTAATCTTACAGTTACCTCAAAAGTAGATGTTCTTACTGTCCCCATTTGTAGTTGAGGACACGGTGGCCCCGGGAGCCCAGTAACTGACCTGTTTGCGCAGCTGCCAAGGAGCTGCAAGGGGTTCGCTGCTTCCCTTTCACGCTGCCCATGACCGTGGCACGCCGCTGTCCTCCAGCGCACTGAGCACAGCCTGCCCAGTGATCCCACCGCACACCCACGCCCCCCTTGGCTGCGGGTGCGAGGAGACGGGAACTAGATAGAAATGGAAGCGCTTACGGAGCGTGACGGTGACACTGCTGATCGCTGCTCTTACTCGTTCCTTGATGAGATAGATAGCGGGACAAACATTTTTATGAAGACTTTTGATCAGTTATAAATAATGGATCTGTAACAGATTATTAAGGAGACTAGGATGTCCTTGTCTGTGGAGAGTGAGGATCTTGTCCAGGGAAATGCCAGTGGCCTCTCTCGCCCTTGGAACCCTGGGCAGAGTTGGGCTGGAACAACTTTTGATCTGACCTGAGGTGGCATTTCTACTGGATTGAGTGGTGGGTTCCTATATGAGTTAGGCTGTTCTCAAAAAGTCCTTGGAATATAGTCGCTTAAGACAGAAACGTATGCTCTTTATGAAAGTCTGGATAGGTGGTCTGGGCTGGTGGCCTGATGGTGTCCTCTCCTGTCTCATGGTTCCTCTGTCACCGTGGGTAATGCTTATGTCCATCTTCTGGGCCCACATCCCAGCCAGGGGAAGAGGAGAAGGGAGGTGTATGTAAAGTAGACCCGAAGATCAGAAACTGCTCCTTCTCAGCCACAAGGCAAGGAAATCTGGGATTTACTAGGTCGCTCTGAGTCCAGGTAAAATTTGGGAGCCTTGTCACCACAGAAATAAGGAAAGAATGGATTTGGAGGACAACTGGCAATCTTTGTCACAAATGAGGTTTAGGGCGTATGCCCAGGAATGCCCGGTGGGCCAGGAGGAGACCCTTCTCTAACGCTGACCCCACCTAACTTGGCACCTTGGCTCTCCTAGCCAGCGCCAGAGGCCAGCAGTCAGGTGCTCCCCTGGGATGGGCCCTCAGTGAAGTTCAATCCCACTTTGCCTCTGGCCTGGGACCCTATCGGCTGCCTCTTCCTTCTATGAAGCTGTTCCTTTGTCTTCCATGGCATTACCCTCCTTTCCTTGTTATTCTACCTCTTGGCCTCCCTTTTCTTTGCTGGCTCATCCCTCCCAGTCTACCCAGCTGTGGCTGGTCCCAAGCACTCCTCTGCTTACCCAAGGAGATGGGTCCTCTGCTCCTCCACCTCCAGCTGCTCCCCCCTCGGGAGTCAGCACCCATCTCTCTGTCGCTTGTTGTCCCCTGAGCCGTCTGGTTATACTTTCAGTGCAAGAGGTGAGAGTGGATTTGATTCACCCTCCCTCAAACAGTTCCGCTCCCAGCTTTTCCACTGCAGACGGAAGCTGGAAACTGAGGCCAGTAGCCGTGGCCTTGGAGTACTCCGTGTTGGCCAGGACCGTAGGCTTTACAGCCTTATCTCACCCAGTCTGGGCTAAGTGGTG